CCCCCCCCCCCGGATTTATAAAACAAATATGAACATCCTAAACTGTTAGATGAATTTGAGAGGGATTATGTTCAAAATTAAAATATGTTCATGTTTAATAGAACTACATTAAAAGTGAAAATTGTTACAGAAGAAACCAAGGTAAAGAGGTAGAATCACTTTTAGACTTAAGAATAATGTTGGTTTCCCAACAGCTTTCCCTTCTCCATTGAAGCTTAAAGTGAATTGGTATTTATTCATAGGCAGTTTGACTGCATGTATTAGGGAATGAAAAGAAGACATTTGTAGTAATGCCTGGAAACTTGGTGCTTTAAGTTAAGGTTCTCCTCTGCTGCTATGGAATGGATTCCATAAAGTGGATAGCTCTGAGCGCTGCAGAAGACTACAAGAATTTAGACTCTCAGTTGTTCAGTTTATAAGTTTTGTGGGAAGTGACGGACTTACTGTGTGTCACCTACATTTGTGCTGTGTAAAAAATAAATACAAGGATTCTTTTAACTCGTTCCGTTTATTACAAAGCCAAATGTCTGTTTTAATTTGCATGCTAGAGTTGTCATTTTTTTTTTTAAGTCATTATGTTTAGTTACAGGAACATGGATGTTTCTAAAGTAAAAGGCGAACAATTTTTAAAAAGAGGTAAATTTGCTAAATTTACCTGAAATTTATCTGGTCCATTTCATTCATCCCACTGAGATTGGAGTCATTTAACGTAGGGGTCCACAAACTATGTATGGTCAATGGGCAGACCACCAGTTATGTAAATAAAGTTTTATTGAACTAAAACCTTGCCCATTATTTATGTTTAATCTGTGGTTGCTTTTCCTGACTACAGAATCACATGGCCTGCAAGTCTAAAATATTTACTCTTTGGCTCTTTAAGAAAACATTTGCTGAACCTGTTCTAACAGTCTATTCCAAAGAAAATGAATCATTATCTCATAACCATTCATCTTTCAGTTTTTCTTTGCGTAAGTATAATGCTATTTCATAGCATTTGATAGAATGAATATTCAGACAGAATAAACTATTGTAAATCATTACAAAAACAAGCCCACAAACCATGCCTCCTGAAAAACATTTTCATACCTTTCACAACTAAATTCCTATAACATTTGTGGAATTTGATATTTGCATCTAGAACTCCAGTGCTCTGAAACATTCCTCTAGCACTTTATTGTAGTACAAGAGTGTCTAGGATGATCTTTTAATGTTATAAGAAGTAAATAAATTCAGTGAAGTTTAATTCAGATTTTAACGTGTGTGGATACCAGAAAGAAAACTGTCACCTCCCATCTCAGACCCTACTTTGTTCAAGCTCCCTATTGGGAGAGCACATTGAGGGGAAAAGATAATGTGGAAACCCTGGAGTCCGCTGATAAGTGCGCTGTGTTATAACAGCCCTTATCTCTAAAATGGAAGCCATATCACCAGCCTCCTCAGAATTTGTTAGAGGAGATACTTTACATGAAGTGCTCAAGAACCAGTAGCTTACCATAAATGTTTATTGTTAATGTTCATGTTAAGATAATGTAAATTATTAATAATTTGTTTTCCAAATATCAGGAAATCCCAGTTGTCTCTGGCAGTGCTTTCTTACCTGAGAGGATTGAACTGTAGAGATTTTTGGCTTTGCATGTCTTTATATAAAATCTGTCAAAATAAGGTTAAAATTGTTTGATGTAGTGCTAGAATAAGCGATTTTCATTTAGCCACTCAATGTGTATTTATTGAGCAGCTATTGTGTACCTAGTATTGTCTTTTGCTTGAGAAAACAGCAGAGAACAAGAAAAGAATTCCGGCCTCTTAGAGTTTATATTCTTAGGGAAAGGAAACAAACTTAATAAAAAGTTTATATTCAACCAGTGGTTTTCAAAGGGTAATTGTTAGAAATGGCAAATCTTAGGCTCTGCCCCAGTCCTCTCCAATCAGAAAGTTGTAAGGGTGGGGGCCCAGCTTTCTGGGTTAAGAAACACTTTAGTCTGATGGTCCCTAAAGTTTTAAGTAATTCAGTCCTACCCAAATCACAAATAAGAACGTGAGAAGAGAGATTCTCCTGAAGCAGTAGCTCACAAAGTGTGTGGTTCCTGGACCCCTAGCTATCAGCATCACCTGGGAGCTTGCCAGAAAGTTCTGGGGATCATACTTGAGTTTATGTAGTAGTGATAAATTCAGTGGGGAAAACTAGAGTATGGGATAGGAGATGCTTAGATGGGTGTAGACATGCATGCTCATGTTTAAGTAGGATAGGATGGGCCTCACTGAGGTGACTGCCTAAGGGAGGTAGAGGAAGAACATTCCTAGCAGAGGGAGGTAGACAGAAGAGGTCAGAAGGTATAAGCGACAAAGGCTGGCGAAGGGAGCCACAGGCTTAGGAACATATACAGGCTTTTTATAAGAGACCAGACTTTGAACAAAATGAGCTGCTGAGAGGTTTTGACCAGAAGAGTGGCCTGATGGTGACTTAACTTTTAAGAGGATCGTACTGGCTACTGTGTGGAGGCTAGACCATAGGGTGGGTAAGAGTGGAAGCTGAGAGAGCAGTTAAGAGTATTGCGATAATAAAGGTGAGATATGATGGCTTAGATCAAGGGTAGCAGTGGAGGTAATAAGATGCCTTTGGTTTCTGGCTGTCCTTTTAAGTAGAGACATCGAATTTCTGATAAACTGGATATGAGATCTGAGCATGGAAGGAGTGAAGATTGACTCCCAAATTTGCAACCTGAACACTTAGAAGAGTAGTTGTTAATTGCAATACGGATAGTGGCCAAATTCTGCTGACGTTTAGGCTGAAGTACAATGTTCCCAAGTTCTGGTGACCATCCCAAGTAAAGCTATTCGATAACATTGGTTTGCCAATGCAGACAGAGGGGGAAGAAAAAAGGTAAGTTCTGTCTATAGTGATTGTCACAGACATCTCACCAAATCACTGCTGAATTGGAGCTAGAAGCCAAGGACAGAGCCCATGGTTAGCCTGGCCAAGGAAGTATGCAGCCTTCAAGATTACTCCAAGAAAAAAATCCCGGTTACAGGTCCTGAAAATTAACAGCCTAGGATGTTCATAGAATTGATCTCCCTATTTATATGACGTGTAGAAATTTGAGGTTACTGTGTATGCACTAAAAGGTTATATGCTGTTCTTTCTAAAGAAACTTACACCCTATTAGCAGCATCGTTATAAATACCTTCAACTGAAAAAATGATAACTGACAAGGGGTTGAAGAGTTTTGGTTATCTGCACAGCTTTCTTTATCCCCATTAAAAAAAAAAAAAAATTCATTTCATGTATCCGAGCAGTTGGAGCAGATCATCTACCTTGGACCATAAGTAAACCTCCACCAGTACTGCTCACAAAATTTTAAGACACCCCTCACGTGGAGGTATGCTTACCTGGTTATAATCTCTGATGTGTGTATGGAATTCTGAGACCAAAACCTCATTCACTGGACTTTATTTAAGTAGGAGTAATTCTAAGTAAGAATACTTAATAAATATAGTAGCTCACATTTAGGTGCTTACTAGGGACCAGGCACTATTCTAAGTATTAGAATTAATATTAACATTAATACTAATTAATAATATTAATATCATCAATGTTAATAATCATTAATATTTTATTTAATTATATTAAACATTTAATATAAATTTATATTAATATAAAATTATATTAATGTAAAATTATATTAAATATATTGTATTAACTTATTTTTGATTATAATAGTAATAGAATAATCATTAATTAAATGATTAAAATTAATTAAAATTAATTAATTAAAATCAATTAAAATCGATAATTAAAATTATTAACTAATGACTAATGTTAATGTATTAATACATTTAATCCTGCCAGCGATCCTGAGAGGGGGTCCTATCATTCACTGTCCCCGTTTTATAGGTGAGAAAACTGAGCCACCAGATAGTAAATGTGGCTGAAGCTGAACAGCTAATACTGAAAGTTTCTAAGCTCAGGTTACCTGTTTCAGACAATATGTATCACCCATTTAGGTAAATCACCCATTAGGTAAATCATCGGTTAAATTATTGTAAGTATAGTGAGAAGTTCGAAGTGAACCCCACATTATCAAGGTTATGGGTCACAACCAAGGTCACAATTCCTGTTATTAGTGAGAGGTGTTCAGCTAGACTTTTCTGTTATCTAGCCTATGTGTTCCAATTAACTGGGAGTGCTAGGCAGTGAATAAAAAACGTGAACACAAACTCTGGAGCCAATGGCCTGGCAGCAAATGGACTGAGTCCAGGGAGAAAATACCCAGGATACAAATGGATTAATATATTCTCTTGAAAAGCATGTCCCACATTGCTAGGGAGACCCGAGTTTCCCATTTTTTAAATAGCATTATTATCATTTCAAATATATAATGTCTATTTTAAATATTTTATTCTAAAAATACATTAGACTTTACCTTCAGGAAATGAAATTGGAATATGAACGTCAATATAAAATTAACAATAATCTTTATAATTAGTTATTTCCTCAAACTTCTCCCTGAAAGTCTGAGGCAGGAGCACCTGTC